CTTTATTGCTTAGCTACAATATTAGATCCTATGATTAGGAAAGATGGTTTAGATATTTTATTTGAAACATATTGTGAAAATATGAATATTGAAATTGGAAATAAAAAAGAAGAAATTAATAGTTTATTATTTGAAATGTATAGTTTATATGAATCTGAAGTGACAAGGAATAATAAAAATTCTACAACTTGTATAGCTGCATATTCTGCTTTTGAACTTGAGTCCACTACCTCGACAACAAGTTCATTTACTGAACTTAATTTTTATTTACAAGCAAATTTTTCTACTTTAGGTGATTCTTCCTTCACCTCGGAGGGAACATATAATTTTGATATTTTAGCCTGGTGGAGTGAACATGCAAAAAATTATCCAATTCTCGCCGCCATGGCACGTGATTTACTAACCCCTCTAGTGTCTACAATTTCATCAGAGCCTTGTTTTAGTGCAGGTACCATGTGTTGGATCACAAGAGAAATTGTATGAATGATGAAAATCTAGAGATGTGCATATACTTTAAAGACTGACTGAATGTTGAAGATAAATTACAAGACAAAGGAGGGCATGCCACTACACCTGAAGCAGATGATCAAAGTCAAGAACAATAGGAGAAAATGATGAAGTCAATATTTTTTTTTGTAAACTCAATAGTTGTATAGCATTTTTTCAAATTATTGTAAATTTTGTTTTAATTTTATTTAATTTATTTGATATTTTTCAATAACATAATTTTTTATTTTCAATTTATAACTATATTGTATTTTTTATATTTTATTAATGTGTTCCATTTTCCAATTTTCATATTTCATTCATCCAACCATTGTATGCTTTGTATCATTCAAAATTAAATGAAATAAAATTCTTACTTTTCTTCTAATTTGTTATTCACTTTGAGTCTTTATCTCTTTGACTTCTTATTTGGTTAAGTTTTTTTTTCATTTCTTTGTTAGATTTCTTATTTTTTCAAATAGTTCCCAAAGGAAAGTTAAATATTTTAGTTTTACTTAGCAAAGAAATAAAAATAATAATAAAAAATGTCAAAAAAAAACCAGTCTAGACCAGTTCAACCCACGCCCAAGGCCCAACTTGTGGCTCAGTTCGGCATGACCTATAGCCTGCCTAGCCCATGCCAGCGGCATGGCATGACACTATATGGGCCTGCACGGGATTGGGCCATGGGCCGTGTTGGGCCGACCCCCCAAATTATCCTTGGGGAGGGCGACACAACCTGTTTTACACCTGTAATACCAACCCACCCATATTGACCCACCAACCTACCATGACCCATCATTAATCATTGTTAAAGGGTCATAACCCACCTTAACCCTAACCCACCCATATTGACCCTTAACCACCCTCACCCATACTGATCCATCTACCCTCACCTATAAATACAAAAATGGGTCGGGAGAACTGGTATACCCGAAATAATAATTTTTAGGAGGAACATCTCTCTCAAGATTGGCATGTGGAAGAAATGGGCCCAATTGACCCATATACCGAAAATAACAAATTTTTGAGAGAAACATCTCTCAAGACTGTCACGTGGAAGAAATGGGTTGGGGCAACTTGTATACCCGAAAATAGCAATTTTTGAGAGAATAATCTCTCTTAAGGATGCTACGTGAAAGAACCGGGCTGGGTTGACACGTATACCCGAAAAAGAAAAAAAACATTTTGAGAAAATCATCTCTCTTAAGACTGCCACGTGATAGAAACGGGTTGGGTTGACCTGTATATCCGGAAAAACATTTTTGAGAGAATCATCTCTCAAGACTACCATGTGACAAAAACGGGTGAGGTCAACCCGTATACCCAAAAATGAAAAAATTGTAGATAAATACAAAAAATAGCAGAAAAAATACCAAAAAATGTAGAAATTTTAAAAAAATACCAGAAAATTGCAAAAAATGCAGAACTTTTGCAGAAAAAATGCAAAAAAAAACTAGAAAATTGAAGGAAATGCATGAAAACACCAAAAAAATATAGAAATTATGTAGAAAAGAACCAAAAATTGTAGAAAATGTAGACAAAATCCAGAATTTTTCAAAAAAGTGTAGAAAAATACAAAACAATTGCAAAAAAAAAAGCAAAAAATACCAAAAAATTACAAAAATGCAGAAAATTGTAGAAAATGCAAAAAATGCATATCTTTTATAAAAGTGCTTCCGTAAAAGTGTTTTCATAAAAGTACTTTCATAAAAGTGCTTTTATGCTTTCATAAAAGTACTTTTATAAAAGTGTTTTTGTGTAAAAGTACTTTTGTAAAAATGCTTTCATAAAAGTACTTTTACAAAAGTGCTTTTATGCTTTCATAAAAGTGTTTTTGTAAAAGTAATTTTGTAAAAATGCTTTCATAAAAGTACTTTTACAAAAGTGCTTTTATGCTTTTCATAAGTGTTTTCGTAAAAATACTTTCATAAAGTGCTTTCGTGTAAAAGCACTTTTATAAAAATAGTTTCGTAAAAGTACTTTTGTAAGTGTTTTCGTAAAAGTACTTTTTGTAAAATTGTTTTATAAAATTGCTTTTGTAAAAGTGTTTCCGTGTAAAATTGCATTTGAACACGAAAGTTAATCAAATCTATTTTATTTCATTTTTTATCAGAAAATGAAATGTGGCATGGTGGTTTAGAATTGTAATAGATATGTATGCACAAAGAAACTTAGGTTTGAATTATTTCAACTATTGTATTTTTGAGATTTGGCGAGTATAGAATCAACCCATCCTGACCCTAATGGATACCCTCGACCCAACGCACTTTGATCCTTTTCCACTAACCCTAATGGGTTAATCGACCCATATTGACCCGCCAATAGAATGGGCGGGTATGGATGGGTTCCAAGGTGGGTGGGTTGGGTGGGTCAAATGGGTTGAGGTCAAAATTGCTAGTCCTAAAGGTCAAGCTTGAAATCACAAGAAGATGATAGTGGCTTTGAGGTAGATCCTGGTGGTGGAGTCTCTGACACAATCAAGTCAGTAAAGAAGTAAGGGCAAGTTGAGGTGCAAGGCATGCCAAGGTGAGTAAAAGTAATGAGAGAGAGAGAGAGAGAGAGAGAGTTTATTTATAGAAATGGTGTTTTAATGTAAACAAAAGAAGGAATGACTTTTTTAAGAAAATTATTGAAGCTGTTAACTTTTTTCCATTTTTAAGAAAATTAATGTTATTTTTTTTCTATTTGTTTTTTTTTACTTATTCATCTCCATCATTTAGACTTCAATGCCAAAGGCCCATTTTGGTTAGGCAAGAAACGGACCAAAATGGAGAGAAGAGAGATAGAAAGAAATAGAAGTTATGTGGGACCTAGTGTAATGAGAGAGAGAGAAAGAGAGAAAGAGAGAGAGAGAGGGTTTGTGTGGGATCTGGTGGGGTGCAATGTCATAGGAGAGAGAGATATTATTTATAGAAATGGTATTTTAATGTAAACAAAAGAAGTAATGATTTTTTTTAAGAAAATTATTGAAGCTGTTATTTTTTTTTTTTAAGAAAATTAATATTCGTTTTTTCTATTTATTTTAATTATTGAACTCATCATTTAGACTTCAATGCCAAAGACCCGTTTTGGTTAGGCGAGACATGGACCAAAATGGAGGGGGGAAGAAAGATAGAAAGAGAGATGTGTTATGTGAGACCCAGTGTGATGAGAGGGTTTGTGTGAGACTCAATGGCACAATTGGGTTGGAGAGAGAGGGAATTGTGTGGGATTCGATAAGGCACAATGTCATATGAGAGAGAGAGAGGTTGTGTGGATTTTATTTTTAAAAGTATTTAATATTTTTATTTTCTTTTTCTAACAAAATTTATTAAATAAACAACTCAAGTAATTAATAATATTATTATTGTTTTATAATATTGTGATCCCTAGCTAAATAAAAGTATTTATTTAAGGATTCTTTGTCTTTTAATTAGCCCCTACAGCCGGGGGTTGAATATTAACCTTTATCCAGAAATTATTATTATTATTATTATTATTATTATTATTATGTGAAAGTTATTTGAAGAGGCTGGTAATATGGACCAAGGTGTAAGGAGGTGGGGTTGGCATTTGGCAAGCCGAACGCAACGCGGGATGGATAATGCTTCTACACCGAGCATGAAGACCACCAGTGCCTCATCATCTATACATCAATGACGCAAGTTATTATTGAACACCACCAAATGATTCATCAAACCAACGTCACTGTTCACTGATAGGTATGGCAAAGCACACTTACAATTTTTTGCTACTCACTCATTTTTATTTATGTTCAATGCAATATCCGATATTCATATTTTCAAATTTCATTCATAAGAATTAATAAGAAAAAAAAAAGGAAGATCAATTCCAGGTCTACACAAAGTCTGTTCCATAAAGGTTCTTTACTTCAATTATAACTTGTTGCTTTCCAGTTTCATGAGGAAAGTCTCTCTCCCAAACAATTTTTGCTTTCTCTGTTTTCTCTATTGGTCCAGACTCAACCACCGCATCCCAGCTCATAAATCACAACTCAGTCACCATTCACAAGTCACAGCCAACCAGTCAGCCACCATGCTCCAGCTTGGAGGTGTAAAACGGGCTGTGGCATGGGCTGTCTTGAGCCATGCTACTCTCCATAGGGATCATTTGGGGGGGTCGGCCTGGCATGGCTCATGGCCTGAGCCCATGTGGGCCCGTGCCGTACTGTGTAGTGTTATGGGCTTAGGTTGGGCAGGCTGTAAGTCATGTCGTAGGCCGAATTGGGTTAGATTGGTTTTTTCTATTTTTTTTTATTTTTTTGTTAAATAAAACTAAAATATTTAACTTTCCTTTGAGAACTATTTACAAAAATAAGAAATCTACCAAAGAAACAAAAAAAAAAAAATACTTAATCAAATAAGAAGTCAAAGAAACAAAAACTCAAAATGAATAATGAATTAGAAAAAAATAAGAATTTTATTTCATTTAAATTTAAATGAATAAATACAATATAAAAATTAGAAATTTCAATAAATTAATAAAATATTAAAAAATACAATATAGCTGTTTATAACTAGTTCATCAAGCGGGCCGAGCGCAACCTGCCCGTTATAGACTGTGCCGGTATGTGGGCCACAGGCGATATGGTCATGCCGTGCAGTGCCGGCCCGGAGACCTGAAACCCCAGGCCAAGCACGGTCTGGACCATCAAGCCAGGCCTGGCACGACCCGCGTGCTGTCGTGCCGGGCCGCGGACGGCGCAGCCCAAAATTTGGTCGATGAATGCCTTTAAAAACTGTTTGGTGTCGCAACTTCTTCTTTCTTGGGCTACTGCTGTCTGTTGTTTCCGCGCTCTGGATTGATGTTTATGGGGATGCAGCCACCCACCATTTCAAGTCGGATTCGAATTCCACCACCGTTTGCCGCCAGATGGAGACCATATTCTCGAGCCCTGGTAATTTTAGCCTGATCCTTTCTTCTGTATTTGCTGGTTTGTCGGCTAAATTTAGCAAAGAGAGGAGATTGTTCATTGTGGTCTAGTGAAAAGATGATGACGTTGTTTCTTTACCCCTCTTGTCCTCCAAAATACGTGCAGACACTTCACCTGGTCGTCACGCAATGGTGGCTCCGAGGGGCAGGTGTTGCTCCACCTGGTGGTGGTGGTGTCGGTGTCGGTGTCGGTGATAGTTGATTTCTTTGTTACATCTTCGAAAACCTTCTCCACTCCCAACCGGAAATTGCCATTGCCCAATACAACTCTTCTCCCCATCTTTTGTTCCTTCTTCTTCTTCTTCTTTAATCTCCTCTTCATCTTCGTCGTCCTTCACTTCTTCATCCTCCGCTTCTCCCTTTTCCTCCTCCTCCTCTTCGTTCTGTTCTTCCACCATCTCCTCCTCTTGATCGATGGGTTCCGGTTTGATAAACTGCAACCTCAACCGACCATCTTGACGGGAAGCCACGAGAATCTCTGGACGGTTGATCTTAACCTCAGTGAGCTCCAATCTTCCGTCCTTCCTCACCGGCTTGAGGTAGAAAGTAGGTTGGCCGTTCATGCTCAAGGAAGTCAAAGGTGGTGGGTATTTCATACTCTTGCTCCTAAACTTCTCCGCCGTATTCCTCCACCGTGGTGCCGGCGATCTAGCAACAAACCTAGAGGGCTCCTGGATATGCATATCGTAATCGTTAACTCTCTCATCCAAGCTCTCGAACCCCAAACTCTCCGTGCACGACGTCAACCTATCCAGACCACCATTGACGGCATCATTATGAAGAAACCCAATCTCTTCCGACTGTTTATTGTCATGGGCAACGGTGGTGGTGGGCGTGGGATTAAGGGGCTTTCCCATATCACCAGCTAGGAGGCAAAGGCTGCCGGTGGGTAAGGAGATACTCCGGCGGAGGGTGGGGGGTTCTCTCCTCCACGGTTCGTCATTGGAGCTGGACAAGCTTAGAAAAGAGTGGACGGTCTTCTTACAGAAATCCATAATTTCCTGTTTTTTCTTTTCTTTTCTTTTTCTAATGAGAAAATAAGTAGAAAATTATAAACAAAAATTGAATTAGAGAGGGAATTGAATGGGATGAATATATAGAGAGAAGTGAGGAGGGCGTGAATGATATCAGCATACCAAAGATAGGGGGAGAGAACCAGATTACCAGACCCAGTGCAAACTGATTTGGATTTGGAACTGGAACTACTAACAAACAGAGAAAAACAGAATGGTGTGGGAGCTGCCAGCAATGACACCTCTGCCTTTGATTTTTTTTTAGAACATTCAATGCTAACCGCTGGATGTAGATCAGGATGAGGTAGTGGTAAGTAGCTGTCCTAAATCCATAATTAGCTACAACTAATGAAACCCTTCACTCGGACTCGGTGGTGTGTGTCCCGAGCCAGCCAGCCCCCTTAAAAATAAAGAAATGATGGTAATAAGACTTTATGAATGGTAAAGAGGGCGAGGGCGGGCGGGGCCGGGTTTAGAATGCCCCGTCTCCGATCCTGAATTTAAACCCTGAACCTCCTCATTAGGGCTATAAATTTCAACCCCTTTTCCTTTTCTAACGGGAGTACGGGGGATGGGGATTCTCAAATTTCTTTCTTCCCATTTTGGTCATTAACATTTATATATTTATAAATTTATTTATTTTTAATTTTTGAAATCCACTTAAAACTGTTTTATATTTATAATATAATATAATTGGGGCAGGTCTGGAGCTGGAGTTAAAGTGGGGTGGACAAATACCATCTCCTCTCCTCCTTAGTCCTTCCAATTTTAAATTTCCTCAAAACCCACTTCAAACTTGACAAATGGTAAAAGTAAATGGAGTTCACATCTGTGCCCCACAACGTTCCACAGAAAACACATTCCCGCCGTGTATTAAAAATATTATTATCTGTGGGACGTTGTGCGGCACCCCCTGTGAGGCGCAGATGTGAATTCAAAAAAACCTATTACGCCGGAGTAGAATGGGAGCGGAATGGATCAAATAGAACTGCCGGCAGATGTGGCATGTTGTCTATCGATTTATAGGAATCATAAATCCATCTCTATCACATAGTGAAGAGGGGTTTGAAGGATAGTTGTAGTTTTTGTAGCTGCAATTTGTTCAAATTTTGAAGCGGCTTAGCTTGTCCTATTCGGTGGGCGCTTTCTATTTTCTTCCCTTGAATTCGGCACAAGTGGGCGATGGATGGGTGTATGGAACTGGATATTCCCTTATTTCTACGCAAGCCTACGCGGACACGGATACTTTAGAACCACAAGGACCAACACGTTAAACAAAGTTACAAAACCATTGTCTAATACCATTTCTCTAGCTCTCTCTATTTGCAATAAATAGAACCTAGTTATACACTTGGCAAACGTCAACCCGACCCGGCCCAACTAAAAACGGGCCATAGTCCATACAAACTAGATGGTGACTGACCCGACCCTAAAAGAATTTGGGTTGGGTTTGATCATGTCATGGGTCACTCTCGGGTCACCTATTTTCCATTCAATATTTTCAGGCCGGTATTGACCTAGGCGATCATTGAAACTGGATAGTTAAACCCATATTTTTGGTAAAAAGTTGTTGGATTGTTAAAAAAACCAGTTGACTCCGGCGATGGAACCATTGACCCGTCTGACCCATGAGTCAATTCTAACGAATATTTAAGGTTAGAGTCTAATATCTGCTGTCACAACCCAATACCTGACTCGATTTGAATGACCCGGAAAGCCTTAACCTGATCCGATTTGGACTCGACCCGAGTCTCGATTGATTTACGGGCTAAAAGTGATTTGGGGTTGAAACGGAACTGATAGCCTGACTTACAGGCCAAATAATTCAACCATTCTGGTGGGTAAAAGGGTACATATTTAATGCCGCAAAAAGGTTAGGGCTGTAAATGGATCGGGTCCAATCCGACGGACTCAAGAATTAGAGTCAATGGATCGGCTTCGGGTCCTGATATAGTGTCTTGGTTATTATCGGGTCCATTGAGTTTGACTCGATTGTCTCAAAAACCGATCAGTTTGGTTTTGGGTCTAAAGGTTACATACCCTATTGGGTCCAACTCAGTTCCAACTCCCCAATATTTCATGTTGGGTCGGCTTTCGGTTCTAGCTAGTGTCGACCCAAACCCGTCCCATTAACAACCCTAAAATGGTATAAGTTGTTTGATTAGAGTTGTAGAGTGAATCAGGCTGCGCCCTAGCCCATACCCCTAGGCCATGCCGGGATTGGCTTTTGAGGCCTATGGGCTGGAACGGATCGGACTAGGAACCATTTAGGGGACCAATTCTTGAGTCGAATGGTCTGGCCATTTGGTCTAAACAAACGGCCTATTCTAACAAAAAAAAACCAAAAATAGTTGTCTGGGTCAGCGATTCGACTGCCTGGGTCAACAGTTAATTGACTAAATAACAGTTTTTGGCCAAAAAACGGTTTTGGGGTGAAACAAAACTAGCTAGGTGACCGGTTCCAATTTTTCCATTCTAGTTTTGAAAAGATTATATATATATATATATATATATATATATATATATATTATAACTTTTCAATTTAATTATACTATTTTATTTCAATTGTATTGTATTTTTTTTATTTCATTTTATTATTTCATATATAAACAATTATATACATCAAAATTCATATAGAATAAGATTTTAAGATTTTTTAAATTCATTGTCTATTTTGTTTATTTATTTTAAAATTTTTATTATTTTTTCAATTTTTTTAAGTATATTTTTGGCATTGATGCTACAAATACAACACCATTTTCTGAGAAAACAATGTCTTTTTTTTTTTGTTTGGAAACGTTGTTGTTAGGTAGGACGTTTCCTGGAGCAACAACAACACCTTTTGTTTGGTACCAGTGCTCCATATCTATTTTCAGCACTAGTACCCATTATAGAAAGTCCACGTCAGTGCCACATCATGTCCTCGTTGATAGTAACAAGCTCCAATATGAGAAAACATCGAATTTGGCATTGCTCCAAACCATGCCTTCTCGATTTCCAAGGCGTAGCTTGGAGCACCATTTTTTATGGAAAAATGTTTCCAAAAATATTGATGCTTTTTGGAGCATCGATTTTTCCAATGTGATGCTGATCTGTCACTGTTTTTTGGAGCAACGACACCGATTCCAAATACCGCCTAAATGTCTTTCACAGCCCCACCCACGACCCAGTCTGAGTTCTCATGGACTAATGTCATAGACCATACCGGGCCTGACCTTTAAAGGGTTCTAGGTTAAGCAAGCCCGGTCCACCCAAGCTCACATGTTGGTACTACACAACTCACCCACAAAATCATGTATATGTGGTGTCGATGTTGCAGATACAACATCGTTTTCTCAGAAAACAATGCTGCTGATGTGTGGGTTGGAAGCACTTTTTTTTTGAGAAAATGGTGTATTCTTTTTGTTTGGAATCGTTGCTGATAAGTAGGACATTCCCTAAAGCAATAACAACTTTTTCTATTTGGTACCAATTCTCAAGGAAACGTTTTCAGCATTAGTATCCATTATCCAGTGCCACATTGCTGCCACCTCATATCCTTGTTGGCAGCAACGAGCTACAATTCCAAGAAATGTCAAATTCAGTGTTGCTCCAATCCATGCCTTTCCGATTTCCAAGGCATGACTTAGAACACCATTTTTTATAGAAAAAACAGTTCCAAACAAATGCTTATTTCCTAGAGCACCGCTTTTTACAACGTGACACTGATGTGACGTCATTTTCTAGAACAACAACGATGCGCAACCCCGGTAGACTTGATGCGCGCATCGTTCGCGTGGCATGAATACGTGCCACGTGTCCTTAAAACGTGTGCATCATAAAAGTGCGAGGTGAATTCTCACCACTCTCTCGCCCATACCGAATCGAACCCACGCTGCACACTGGTTCTCGAACTCGCATACATTGACTTGGCCGCCACGTCTCTCTCCTCCGTAGTCTCCATCCTTCCTCTCCCTCTCACTCCTGTCCAGGGTCAGCGTTCTACCTTTCAACCAGCTAGTGACCAGAGCAACCGGCGACCGGCGGCAACCTTTGTCCGGATACTAGCGATGGTTCTTTTTCTTCTTCTTCTTTTTAATCCTTGTTTTAGCCGTTACATCCCCTAAAAACTAATGTATTCTTTTTTTATTTTTTAATTGTTCTAGAACCGGTGGAACGGACAAGGTATCAGCCATTACGGGCGGTGATGGCATTCTTAAACCATTACTAGTGACGAAGAACAACAAGTAAGTCCGCTAATTCCCTTCTCTCTTCTTGTTGTTTTCAGCCTCACCAATGACCTGGTCTTGTTTTTCCATGTTTGGTGGAGGTGGGTCTTCATGGGTCACTGGGAAGTCAGGAGAATGGGAAAGAAACTCCGGAGGAGGTTTGCTGTCATGGAGGGCTGAGCTGCTGTTGCTGTTGGGTTGTTGGTCGTAGTTGAGGTAAATAATGAAGGAGTTTATTGCAGTTTTTTTTTTGTTAGAATAATTTCCTGGTTTTCAGGAAAGTCCTAGTCTTTAGGGATAACTACCTGTATTTGAATTGTTTCAGGAAAGTCCTAGTCTTTAGGGATAACTATCAGTATTTGAATTGTTCCACGTCTCTGTTACCACTTAGCTTTATTCTCGCTAAAGTGGGCTGCTTTCAATCGTGTATTGAACGGCTATTTAAGCCAAGATTATTGTTAATAAAATCAGTCATTCAACCCAGTTCGTTGTGTTCTTATTTTAACTTTCATATTAGATTAAAGATCCCAATAATCTGGTATCAGAGCCTCCACTAGGCCTAACAAAATCAAAGCAGCAGTCTTTGAAGTTCTTGCAGCAGCACAAAAGATGACTACTGAAGGGAGTTTTATACAACCATCCATTCCTCTTTTTGATGGTCACTATGACCATTGGAGCATGCTGATGGAAAATTTCCTACGATCTAAGGAATATCGGGAGCTGGTGGAGTCTGGCTATGTTGAGTCTGCAAGTGGATCGTTGCAGACAGATGCACAGCAAAAGAAGAATGATGAGATGTAGCTGAAGGACCTGAAAGTGAAGAACTATCTCTTCCAGGCCATTGACCTCACAGTTCTCGACACCATTCTCAAGAAGGATACCGCCAAAGAAATATGGGATGCCATGAAGAAAAAGTTCGAAGGGAATGCAAGGGTCAAGAGGTCTCATCTTCAAGTTCTCTGCAGAGAATTTGAAACTCTTGAGATGAGGTCCGGTGAAGGAGTGACAGAGTATTTCTCTAGGGTCATGACAGTGGCAAACAAGATGCGAATTTATGGAGAAGATATGCAGGATGTTAAAGTGGTGGAGAAAATTCTACGTTCTTTAACTGAAAAGTTCAACTATGTTGTTTGTTCTATTGAGGAGTCAAAGGACATTGATGCTCTCATTGTTGATGAGTTACAAAGCTCATTAATAGTACATGAACAGAAATTCTAGAGGCACAATGGTGAGGAGCAGGCCTTGAAAGTGACATATGAAGGAGGAAAAGGTCGTGGTCATGGTGCCTACAGAGAAAGAGGAAGAGGGAGAGGTCAAGCAGGTTTCAATAAGGCAACTGTGGAGTGTTACCGATGCCATAATCTTGGACATTTTCAGTATGAATGTCCTTCTGGGAACAAAGAAGCAAACTATGCAGAGCTTGATGAGGAAGATGAATTGCTTCTAATCACATGTGCGGTGATCAAGCTATGTTTAGTGAAATTGATGAAAAATTTCAGCATTCGATGAAATTGGGAAACAACACTAAGATGAGTGTGATGGGAAAGGGAAGTGTGAAGCTGTTGTTGAATGGAGTCAATCATGTTGTTACTAAGGTATACTATATTCCAGAGCTGAGAAATAATCTCTTGAGTATAGGGTAGTTGCAAGAAAAAGGCTTGGCTATTTTGATCAAGGGAGGGATGTGCAAGATATTTCATCCAAAGAAGGGTTTGATCATTCAAACCAACATGAGTGCCAATAGGATGTTTATCCTGTTGACTCAGTCTCAAGCTCCTTCTTAAACACAATCTGATCAATGCTTTCACACAAGAACTCAAAATCTGTCTCATCTTTGGCATCGGAGGTATGGGCATCTGAGCTACAAGGGTTTGAGAACCTTGCTGAACAAAAACATGGTACATGGACTTCCTCAACTCTCTGCCTCAAGTGTGACATGCACTGATTGCATCAATGGGAAACAACATCATGATCCTATCCCAAAGAGAAGTACTTGGAGAGCAACTCAGAAATTGGAACTTATTCATGCAGATATTTGTGGTCCGATCACTCCTACATCTAATAGCAATAAGAGGTACGTTTTGTTATTCATTGATGATTATAGTAGAAAATCTTGTGTGTATTTTTTGGTAGAAAAGTCAGGGGCTTTAAATTCTTTTAAATGCTTTAAGACTATGGTTGAGAAAGAAACAAGGTTGTTTGTTAAGAGTTTGCGCACTGATTGAGGAGGAGAATTCAATTCAAATGAATTCAATGATTTCTACAAACAAAGTGGGATTAAGAGACAGTTGACCACCGCTTATATTCCGCAATAGAACGGTGTAGCCAAAAGGAAGAATAGAACCGTGATAAACATGGTTCGTTCAATGCTATCTGACAAGAACATTCCCAAGACCTTTTGGCCAGAGGCAGTGAACTGGACTATCTATGTCCTAAACAGGTGTCCTACATTGGCTGTCAAGGATGTTACACCAAAGGAGGCTTGGAGTGGAGTGAAACCCTCAGTAGATCATTTTCGGGTCTTTGGTTGCATAGCACACGTCCATGTTCCAGAAGCAAGGAGGACTAAACTTGATAGTAGAAGCATTACTTGTGTACTATTGGGAGTTAGTGAGGAGTCAAAAGGCTACAGGCTATTTGATCCTATTGCTAAGAGGATTGTTGTGAGTAGAGATATAATTTTTGAAGAAGGGAAGCAATGGGATTGGGATGTGAGTTATGAAAAATAAATAGTAATAGACTTAGAATGGGGTGAGAGTGATTGGTGAGAATGAAAAAGGGGTGAGTGAAAATGGGAATGGAGATGATACTAGTGATGAGGGAGTTAGAGAAGAGGAAGATGGTCCTAGTGAGGGTGAAGAGAGAGTGAGGGAATTGAGGCAACCTCATGAGAGGCGACCTCCTACGTGGATGGGTGATTATGATAGTGGAGAAGGTCTATCTGAGGATGAAGCTCATATGGCACTAGTGGTATCAACTGATCCATTGTATTTTGAGGAAGCTGTGAAGAGTGCAAATTGGAGATTGGCCATGGACAGTGAAATCAAATCCATCGAGAAAAACAAAACATGAACACTCATTGAGCTGCCAACTGGAGCCAAAAAAATTGGAGTAAAGTGGGTTTACAAAACCAAATACAATGAGCATGGAAAGATTGATAAGCATAAAGCTCGTTTGGTTGCTAAAGGGTACTCTCAAAAGCATGGAGTAGACTACACAGAAGTTTATGCACCAGTGGCAAGGATGGATACTGTAAGGATGATTATTGCTCTGGCAGCATAGAAGGATTGGAAGATTTTTCAGCTGGATGTTAAGTCAGCTTTTCTCCATGGTGAGCTGAACGAAGATGTTTATGTGGAGCCACCAAGAGGGTATGAAAAAAAGGACAGTGAGCATTTGGTTTACAAGTTACATAAAGCCTTGTATGGATTAAAACAAGCTCCATGAGCTTGGTTTAGTCGAGTCAAAGTACATTTCATTGGTGAAGGGTTTCAGAGGTGCGATAGCGAGCAGACATTATTCACAAAGAGAAGCAGAGAAAGAAAAATTATCATTGTAAGTGTTTATGTTGATGATTTAATTTTTACTGGTGATGATGAAGTTATGATGTTTGAATTTAAAAACTCAATGTTAAGAGAGTTTGATATGTCTGACTTGGGGAAGATGAGGTTTTTTCTTGGGATCGAGGTGCTACAAAAGTCTGATGGTATTTATATATGCCAAAGGAAATATGCTTTGGAGGTTTTGAGAAGATTTGGTATGATGGAAAGTAATTCACTGGGCTGTCCAATAGTTCCAGGTTTCAAAGCGAGCAAAGATGGAGATGGAGTCCCTGTTGATGAGGCGTACTACAAGTAGTTGGTGGGGAGTTTAATGTATCTCACTGCCACGAGACCTAACATGATGTTTGTTACTTGTCTCATAAGTAGATATATGGCAAAACCAATGGAGATTCATCTACAGGCAGCTAAGAGAGCACTTCCATACTTAAAAGGGATTGTGAGCTATGGAATTTATTATAAGAAAAGAGGAGATGGTGAGTTGTTGGAATTTACAGATAGCGACTATGCTGGAGATATGGAGGACAGGAAGAGTACATCTGGGTACATGTTTTTAATGAGTTCAGGTGTTGTTGCATGGTGTTCAAAAAAGTAGCCTATTGTGATTTTATCAACCACAGAAGCTGAATTTGTGGCAGCTGCAGTCTGTGCTTGTCAAGGAGTCTGGATGAAGAGAATTTTAAAGGAATTGGGACACTCTAATGGAGGCTGTACTACTGTGATGTGGGACAACAGTTCAACAATCAAGTTGTCTAAAAATCCAGTTAGGCATGGTCGCGGCAAGCATATTGATGTGAGGTTTCATTTCTTAAGGAATCTTACTAAGGATGGTACAATTGAATTAGTTCATTGTGGGAGTCGGGATCAGGTGGTGGACATAATGACCAAACCATTGAAGCTAGAAGTTTTTCAGAAGCTTCGAAAGTTTGAATAGCTATTTAAGCCAAGATTATTGTTAATAAAATCAGTCATTCAACCCAGTTCGTTGGGTTCTTATTTTAACTTTCATATTAGATTAAAGATCCCAACAAATAAGAGAGCTAAGAGGGTCAGTTGAATTGCAACTTGTTCCTATTCTAGTTGATGAAGAACATTGTCTATGCACCTGCGATGAACTTTCTGATTTCAACCTGTTCAGATGAAATTTGTAATTAAAATGTAACAAAAATAAATATAGTTTGATGATGGGTTTTGATATTATATGACTATTTAATGTTTACCTGCTTAAGAGAAGAGAAGAAGGTGGTATGGAGTGAAGGATTTACCATTCTTCTGTTTCGTGTCTGCAAATATAATCTCCCTCACAGGATGTACATTCTCAATTTCTCATAACGCCAAATCTTCAGAATGTACATTCTCAATTTCTCATAAACTTGTTTCTTAAGCTACAAATAAAATAAAATAGAATATAACTCTATCATTGAAACGCCAAACAAATAAAAGAACCCTGCCATTGAGAATTTGAGACTCGATGAAGCAAAAGCAAAACATATTCAACGTTTTCTTAGTTCCATCATGCTCTGTCATTGAAATGACAAAACATAAGCTTGTTTCTTAGTTCCACCCTGCTTTGTTTTCTTTTTTTTTTTTGTTTTATCTCAAAACAGAATATTTTTTGTTTTATCTCAAAATTTATATGGACCCTTCAATCCACCTACATGCAACCTCCAATAACAGTGGAACAGAGGTTCGAACAAGCATCAAGTGAAATTTTCCATCTCTCAAACATTTTGTTCTCTAAATTTTATCGGTTTTAGCATTTGGATGCAAACGAGGACTAAGAAAAAGCGTTAAGAGAAGAAGAGATCTCCAATCCTGGGTTCTACATACCTACTCCATTGGTCCTGGGTTCCACAAGAAACTCAAAATTGGATAGATATCCTTCAACGTTGAAGATGATGAAGAGCTTTTTGCAACCAAAGCTTGAAGGATTCGTTAAGCAATAGATTAATTTAACCATTTATAACTCAATTTCTAAGTCATTTTCTTTACTACACAAGGATTAGAAAGATGATTTCCTCTTGCACGTTTTTGAAATCCACCTTCCGATTTTTCATCCTTCTACTTCTCTTTCCATCGTTTCTGGTTTCAAACATCCCTACTCCTAGTGCTTCTCTTTCCACCTTCCGATTGTTCTTTTTCTTTGGGATGACATGGTGATTCAACAGTCAAAACAGTCAAAACATTGTTCATCTTCTTCCTCTACCCCTCTCATCTCGCTCTCTTTCTTTCTCTTATTTTCAATTGAAATCTTAATTTGTTGTTGTTTTCTTGATATGGTTTTGGTTGCGGAGCGGGAACGACCATAATTCAAGGTGGTTCACCAAAGTTCAGTGCTTCTCGGTGGTCCTCTCCACTCTTTCTGGTTGCACCTTCAGACTTTCAGTGCTGGAGTACCATCCGATCAGGCACAACTCGTTACTGCGCATTGGTTCTAGTGGCATTTATAACCACGATTGCATTATAAAAGAAACAAAGCAGAGATTAAGGGTGTCAATGGACCGTCCAATCCAAAATCAATTTGGACAGATTGGACGGATCAACAAGATTGGATTGGACCCATCCGATCCAAAATATTTATTGGATTGGGCTGGACCTATAATAAATTTATATCGGATTCAGTTGAATTAAACCAATATCTTGTGCACTGATCTAAGATAAGAATATAGGTGTCAATGAGCCGGATTTGGGTTGAAACCAATCTAAATTAAAATGAATTTAAACAGATTGAACGGTTCAGACATTGAATTAGACCAGTCTAAAATGGTCTAAAATATTCATTGGATTGGATTGGACCTGATCCATTTGTAATGGATTCACATTGGACTGGATCGGATTGGACCAAATCTAGTCCAATTGACACCCCTAGCAGAGATGACGGCATTAACCCAATTAAATAAATATTTACACAGATGCTTGGGGCCGAGCTACCCCCATCTTGTATAGCTC